TCTGTAGTTTATTTTTGTCGGTCTTGAATTCCAGTCTTCAACTTGTCTAAAACGTCTTGTGTTTAAGAGTCGTTTAGATCTGAGGGTATCGAAGTTAGGGTAGTCAAACGTGAAGAGTACACTGAAGAAGCAGTTGCTTGGGCGGATGCTGTTTTCACTGCCGGTGGTGATGGCACTTTCTTGATTGCAGCTGCTAAAGTTAAGGATCATAAACCAGTTATAGGGTTTAACGCTGATCCAATACGGTTAGTCGAAATTCGTGTACAGCATTATGAATAACATTCTATTGTGTTATCTTGCGGATGTTGTCAACCACTTCTTTGAGTGAATTACAGATAATGTCTCTCTTTTTTCGTGCTTAAAATCACTTAGTAAAGGTGAAATGTGAGTAAGGGAGGAAGATTTAGTATAATTATTTTGAATAAGTCGCGAGTTCTTTACTGATGCTGTTAACACTAGGTTTATATTTTCACTGATATTATAGCATTTCTAGTTCAGAAGGCCATCTTTGCATAACCCGTAAGAAGGACTTGCCCGTCAATGACGTTATTAAAAAACTGATCAATGGCGAATTCAGGTTTGTCTTCTGCATTAATTTTCAAAGATGAGGCGGAAAGTTGTGTATTGTTCAGCTAAATTTTTTACTTTATTAAATATGTGTGGATAGTGAAATAAACTAAGTGACACATTTTACGGTTGTTCTGATGCAAATATTAATTGGGGTGGTGAAGAAAAGTTTTTTAGAGTTTTGAAAGTAAGAAATAAGTTTTTTCTGTCAAGATACGATCACAGTGCACTTAAATTTCGAAAATAAGATGGTTACCGCAAAACGTTTTTTTCAGGAGGCATATCCTAAAATTCTTATTTTCTTACTTCTAAAAAAAAAAAAAGAAAAATTGGGCTTCATTTGTTAAGCTATTGTAGCGGACGGTATTTAGAACTAAGATACGAATGCGTTTGCAAAATTTATTCCTTAAACCAGCAGTTGATTCTTTTTAAATTTGGATATGGTTTTATCTTTCAAAAGCTAGAAACTTTGTTTCCTTTGAATATTAGAGGTTTTACAGTAGGATTTGGAATGGCGTGTTTTTTAGAATCTGCTGTCAGTAATTTTTTTCGACTGGGTTTTTTTAAAATATATTTATACTTACTTATTGTGCATGAGCTTTCATAGTTGATAGCTGATTAAGCGTGTTTTTCTGCATTATTTCTTTTTCAGCTATACCTGGCGTCAGCGGATACGTGTTAGCGTGATAAAATGGGTTGAAGAGAACGTGACGGTTTCTGAAAATGAGGAAGAAATGACCGAAAAGAGCGATAAGCTCAGAAATGCTCGGTAAAACATCTCAATTAGCTATGCCTTGGGGAACGTACGTGATTTACTGAGCTTGTAGCAAACAGTCTTCCAGGATTTTTAAATGGTTTTTTTAGTCTTTACCGCAATGAAAAGTTTGACCCAAAAGTTCCTGTTTTGGCTTTGAACGACATCTTTGTTGGTGAAAGTCATGCTGCACGTGTCAGTAGCTACGAAATACAGATTGATGATGGTGCTGTACTGAAGCAGAAGAGCTCTGGATTAGTAGTTTCGACTGGAACCGGGTCGACTTCATGGTATTTTTTCATTTTTATTTTCGTTTTTATTTTTCTTTTCATTTTTATTTCTGTTTTCATTTTATTTTTATCTTCGTTCGCGTTTTTTTTTTTTTGCTAAATGTGATGTTTCACAGCATTTGCCTTTTTATGGCAGTCATTTTTCTTTTCTTGTGAACCACAATTTCACCTGGCTGACACTGATTATATGAACACTTCTAGGAATTATAATATTAACCGAGTTTTCGAGCAAGATGTTAGCGATTTATTGCGCATTATGTCTTCCTTAGGCGTACCACTTAATGATACAAACAAATCGTTCACGCAAGAAATTTGTCAGCGTTTTAATGAAAAGCTTGTGTTCAAGCCACAGTCACCTAGTTAGTTATTTATTTGCTCGCATTTTATTGTGGTATTTTAAGACGGGTAAACTTTTCTGTTCTCTTTTAATTAGTGTTATTTTTGAATCGTTTCTTTACTATTTCTTTACATCAGAAATGACTCATAGGTGATACTAAAAGTTTTTCATTTTTTCATTGACTACTACTTTATTAAAATTAGCTCTTACAATCTGCGGATTGTTCAATAAAAGCTGGTATTTAACCTGATATTCGGGCTTTTAGTGCTTGCTTATACAATTCGTGAACCATTGGTCAATGTAACGTACCCTGAAAACATAAAACGGGGATTTGCATCTCGGATTTGGATCCGTTCATGTTGCAGCGATGCTCATTTGGTCCTTGATGGTGGGTTTTCAGTCCCTTTTAACTACGGCACAGAAATATTACTTGAAACCCATAAAGAAGATGCATTATGTACTGTTATGTTTGTGTAAATTTTCCTTTTTTTTGGCTGGAAGAAGCCAGAAAGGTGCCTTTCGTTTTTGTTTTGTGTCATTGATTGTACATAATTTGTTTTCTAACTGCCGTTCTGAAATACGTTGCTTCTCAGGTTTATTTATTTCTAATGACAGCTAACTTCTAATACTTGCATGTACATATGAAGGTGAGGTAAATTATGAAAAATTTAGAGGTAACTACTTATTTGTCAGGAACGAAGAAAAATAAAGTGTTTAAGTTTTCCTGGTTTCTTGAGCGTATCTCTGTTTTTCGAAAACAGGTTGTGAAAAATAGTCTTCTGGTTTTTTTTAACTCACCAATTTACGTGTGTCCGTCAGTAGGCCACGTTGATGTTTTTCGGCTTTGGAAAAAAGAATTCTATCACGTCTCTTCCATGACCAGAAAGTCTTCTTTTTTTCTGCCAGTTGCCAGTGGCTACTCCTGCATTGCTTTCAGTTTTCTTGAGCCGATAGTTGTCCATCACGTACCAGGAGCTTTCGTTATTTCCCTCAGCTTTCATGGCTCCTGCCGCTTTATTAAACTCCTTTTTGAAGGGGGATTTTGTGTACCGCTGAGAATCACAGGTCTGCACTGTTAATCCTCGCTTTAGTTGTTTTCAGTAGCTCATCGGGATACTCTGTTCAGTTTAATAGAGGAGCCAAAATGGAGTTTGAACAATTTTATCTTAAAAATGAGCAAATGAGAGGATCGCTACATCACGACATCTTCAGAAGCGTGAGGTTGCGAGAAGCACGTTATACTTCGTAGTTCCTCCAGCGGGAAAGTGAAATCAGTTGCTTCAAGTGGCGTTCTGGTTGTCGGTGTCCATAATTGACTGCAGGATGCCATTAGGCCAGAACGGTTTGGGGCTCATCCAGATCTTTAAGTTGTATGACTTAGTTTCATACTCGTGTTGTCATGCTTGTCATCCTCCGCTATAGAACCTCAACTCACATGAACCTTAGTGAGTAAGCGCACTTTGCAACGATAGTAGCAAGATGAAAATTTTTATTTCTCTACATCCCATTTGGTAACTTGAAAACGGTATAATTATATCCCGATTGCCTCATTTTTTTTCTATACATTACAAACGGATTTCAGAAAAAGTAGTACAAGTAGGAACTGACATAACTTGCGGCGCCTGGATCACCGCCAAACAAATGATAAACAGGAAAGGGTAAGTACGTGTTATAAGCACCCGACCAGCTAAAAAAGGAAGAGAAAACTAAATAAGCTCTATAAATGACTGACAGCTTAAATATCCTGTAAAAAACCTGTATTAGAAACCTTAGAAATAGAAGATATATGTTATCTGTCATCTGCATTTGGAAAAAGACCGGAAGTCAGTCATAGTTATAAAGCTGTGTTGCTGCGAACCCTTCTTATTTCGGAAACTTCTAATACGGAACGAAGAATTTCACCCAATCGATCAATTTCCTCAATATTATCTGTTAAATAGTTTAGTGTTGTCCATATCATTTCCATTAGTTTACCTGGATCAATTTGATCAATTCGCATTTCAATACCCTTCGGACTGATCCGTAAGAACGGTATATTTTGTGCCAAGCACCGGTCTTTCGCAGATTCTAAACCTGCTTGTTCATGCCCAACTACCTGAAATGTCGGAATATTGATTACTTAACGTGGTTTCAGCTTAGGGAAACCTTTGAGCATCTTATTGCACCCAACAAGATCTGAATCTTTGGATATACAAAGCGTCATAATATAAGCGGTTATCCTCCTGAGAAAGGAAGGGTCAAATTTTGCAGCTCTGAGAGGTGATTATACTTCTGCTCCCATTTTGTTCAGTTTCTATCATCTTGTTTTCAAGATATACAGTACTTGTTCTTTTCTTTCGAGAAGGCCTTTCAAATCTTAACTTTTGCAAAATAAACTCAAATTTTCTAAAAACTCGCTCTGTGCTAAAATACCCATTGGATTTCGCAACAATGCAAGTGAATACAGTAAAGTGAATGCAATTGAATACCATGTAAGTGAATGCATTAAAGTTCTTTCTAAAACACTAGATTTTTGTCTGGGAAGAAAATTTTCCACGAAAACTTCTCCGCTTTAGCTGTGCCATTACATCAAATTGTGTCGCACTTTCCTGAACAGTTTTCAAAAAAGAACAACAAAAAGAGACCATAGAGTTTCACCCTTATCTAGAAGAATATTTCGTACTGCAACAGTTTCGAATATTATAAACTGCTATTCAGAATAACTTCATTAGCTCAATTTTGCGCGGTGGAAATATGATGGAAGTTCCTGCTATTATCTACCAATAGACAACCTAGGCTAAGTAGAGGATCAAATCCAGATAAAAACGTTAATGAGCCTTATATGATAAAAACCGTAAAAAAGTTGACGGTAAACAAACCTGCTCAAGCAACAATGACATAATATGAAGCAAATATTTCGCTTTGGCTCGTATATTGCTGCCATTGTTAAGTATTCTATCCGTCTCCGAAGGTTCACCCGTTCCAATTGAGATCACTGCTGCAAGTTTCACGTGCGGTCCAACTGCATTACACTGGTCTAGCTCCTAAAACACCAAGGAATAAACAAAAATTCTAAAAATGTGCTCACTGACGAATCTGCAAGTTGTGCAGTAACTTCTCACTAAAAATATTTTTTGTTATAAAAAAATAATTTACTTTAAAAAGAACATTTAATGGACAATTAGCAACGAAAGACCCGTCAACGAAAACATGGTCGTTGTACGCATGTGGATGAAAATACGTCGGAGCTGCGCTGAAACTAAGAGGATTTAGGAGGTTATTATCCTTTATCAACACCAGTTTTCTCTATGTTTCCTAACGAATCAAACATCGTTAGATGACTCGCTAATGAGCTTTAACCAGAATTGGTAGCCAGTTTGAATTTAAAAATTTTACAATATAGCCAACCTGCTGGCTCTAGCAGCATCTCGAAACATTGTATCGTTTTTAACAACTTCCGATGACTCTGAAAAAACGCTGTAGTTCCGGAAAACGTGCAGCTTTGCTGGTCTTTTCGAGATATCAAGAGCTGGAACCGAGAGTCGTTTAGGACAACTGAAAAAGCATACTGATTGTTCCCAGAAGGTTACTAAAGTTTTCTTAATAGTTGTCATTACTAGGTGCTCAATTCTGTAACCAGCAAAATAAGGCAGAGATGAGGCAAATTAAACGACATTATGCCACTATGTAAATATTTTGAAATGAGCAATATAATGGAAAACTGTACCCGGCAAAAGTATAGTTATCTGGAAAACATTTTTGAAGAACACTGTTAACGTTTTTGGTCTGCCGATCGACCATATCTCCGAAGAGTCGTTTCATTGTCGAACCATTTAAAAAAATTTCATCTTTCATTTCCCAGTACAAAAAGAACGCATCTGTAAGCGACGCTCCCTTTGCTAACGTCAATGCCAGCATTGAACCAGTGCTAAAATAATAACATGCTCACTTTAGCAGCCAGTGTGAAACTAAGAGCAATTTTTAAAAAGATTCCTATTTGTAGTTTGGAGCTGACTGTTCTATTACCTTAATTTTTTCGTTTTTATATACACTTTAAAAGCTACATATCGTTACCATTAACAGGAGTGATAATTCGACAAATACCTGGTACCAACCATCCAGTCGAACACATTTGGTAAATATTCATCTCCAAAAAGTCTTCTAGACGCAAAAAGAAGGCTAACAACAGAAACCAATCCACGAATTCCACCACCATCCAAAGATAATGCGATCATTCCAAGTGGAGAATGTTTGTTTCGCGGTACCCGTCGTGATTTCTAAAATTGATATCCTTATGACCAATGTTTTGGCCTTTCTTAACCGCTACTTTAAACTACAAGCGAATCGTTGTTTAAAACGGCTAAACAGCTTACTGGCAAGAAGTGGGGAAAGAACAGATTTTAAAACATTCGATCAAATTTCCTGCACTATCTGTCAATACTATATTAGGTATTACTATCACGTTACAGTGGAATAAAGACTGGACTTTGACACAAGAATACTGCTGCAAGAAAAAACGAAAAAAAACAAACATTGTTATTGAATTGAGCGTCATATATCTCTTTTGCGTGATCCAAAAAATCTTTGTACTTTAAATAACATTTTTCACATATTGTGCCATTTGTAATACGTTTTAGCAAGGCTTTCTTTCCATATCCATCCACATATAAAGGTGTGGGATCAGCTCCTAATGTAAGTAGCAAACGTGCCTATAACAGTTCAATAATGACAAGTAACACCGGTCTATTTCTCACTCTGTTAATTCCATAACCTCTAAATGAACAACTGGTTATCGAACAAACCGGCCAAAACTCTTCAAAATATTGATTCATCTGATCCACTAAAAAACAGATGTCTCAATTACGAGGAATTTCAAAAACTAACTTCGGTTATCGTACTGTGAGGATGTGTCCAGCAATCAGTTAGCTTTGTCGTTAGCTGAAAAGCAAATCAATATTAACACCAGAAAATTAAGACTGCAGTCAGATGGTCAACTGAGATTCACCTCACTAGTTTTTGTAATGAAAACAAAGACGAAATGATTACCTGTGGCACTGTAGCAGTTTTAGCAAAACTGATTAAAGAACGAATCCTTTCAGATCTTTTAGTTTCCTTCAACGCGTGAGCACATTTCGATGAAAACATTTTTGGAGACTTTTTTTTCTTTTGATGCTTCGAAACACCAGCAACTGTCTGTTAAAGACGTCAATACTCAAATTTTATGCATTTGCAGACGAAAAAACTATAAAAGTTGTCATTGCTACTGCAAACAAAAAAAAATAGTTTACTGATTGACCGCTGGTAACAAAAGTGTCAATAAAATCCTTTGTTATCGGACTTTATAAAGACAAAACTGTCAACAGCTACCACACTTCGTGGTTTTTAACCCGGCAGTAATGAATATAGAGCAAAAAAAGAAACAAAAGTAAAAAAAACTTCCAGAAACAATAAATTGGTCCAAATAACTATGCCATGGATACTCAGTAAAGCGTCAGATGCTTAGTTGACAAAATTCTTCAAAAAAATTTAGGGGGGAAAACTACTCAATTCTAAATTACCGATGATGATCCATTTATATGACGTATGAAAACTGTTATCAAGTTTGCTCTCAGATGTTCATAAAGAGCGAAAAACTGTTTGTTTTTCCCTTCTTTGACCTTAACGTTGCCCTCTTAACACAATATTTTCGCTTCCCATAAACATCTTTTTTCGCTCTAGATTCAAACTTTAAAACTAAGAATTTGGTAAATTCGGTAAACTGTGTATGCACTTATTCGTATAATTAGTCTAGTTCCCTTCTTACAATAGCACTTTGAGAAATAGTTGCTTACATAATAATAAGAGTAGTGAAAAAAAAAAAGTAAGGCAAACCTAAGAAAACATCAAAACGTCGTTTTATTCCCAAGTTAATCGTTACTCCTCGGAAGCGCTTCTCACTACCTCCT